TGGTAAAGAAGTGAAAGCAGCCTTAGCCACACCCGAATTTTGATCCACCAACAGTTCATACGTGTCAAAAACAACCTGTGAAGAATTGCTTAACTTGTTAAGCAAGCATGTTCTTGACCTCATAAAGGATGAAATTCCTAAGCCAAGGTACTTTTCAGTCTTCGTAGATTCTACTCCAGATGTTACCCATTCTGATCAGTTAACCATTGTTTTACGCTATGGCCATATGGTATATCACCGGCCCGAGGAGCGCTTTTTGACATTCATCAACATCTCGAGCCACACAGGACAGAATCTTGCAGATACGTTGCTCGTGGTCGTGGCCAGACATACGACAATGCCAGTAACATGTCTGGTAAATACACTGGAATGCAGAACATTTTGAAAAATAAAAACAATCTTTTGGATTATATTCCGTGCGCAGGCCACTCTCTAAATTTAGTTGGTCAATCAGTTGTAGATGGCTGTGTGGAAGCTGTGTTTTCTTTCAGTTCCTGCAGCGCTTGCATTCTTTTTTTGTTGCATCAACATTTCATTGAAATATTTTATTACGACACGTTGAGGAAAATACTGAATGTCTTGTCCCAAAACACCCATGGGTTACCCGGTGGTCTGCCCGGGCTGATGCGACAGAAGCAGTCTTCAGGGGCTACAAACAATTCCAAAGTGCTCTACAAGAGATTGTAGAAGATATTGACCAGAATGGTCTCACGAAGCACGAAGCTGGCACACTTGCAAGTTATATGGACACCATTGAAGTTGCTTTCAAGTGTGAACTTTGGAATGACATTTTACATCGTTTCAATTGCTGCAGTAAACTGCTACAAAATTCAACTATTGAACTAAGCCCAGCCATTGGATTGTTAAGACGTTTAGACACATATATAGATGAGTGTCGAGGAATGTTTGACTTTTACCATGACAAGGCATGTGGCCGATGTGGAAGCAGCATATATAAATCAGACAGCCGGAGAGCACGTGTACACAGGAAAACAGTAGATGACGGAGATGCCGCAAGTGTGTTGGATGAAATGTCGGGTCAGGAGAAATTCAAAGTGAAGACATTCTTGGTTATCATGGACCAACGGAAAAGTGCCCTATGCAGACGAATTGACGCCTATTCAACAGTAGTGCAGCGGTCTGGTGTTTTAACAGAGTAAGATTCAATGTCAGCTGAAGACATAAATGCTGCAACATCAACACTTGTTAATGTCTATCCACATGACCTTTCTCCTAACTTTCCAAAAGGAATTTAGACAGTACTTAAGTTGGGTGAAAGAGCAAGTACATCCGAATAATGCAACTGGAAGCGCTCAGAGCATTTTCAAACTCTTACAAACCACTGGTGTCCACTCAGCTTTTCCAGACAGCGAGATAGCATTGCGGATGTACCTGTCTCTAATGTCAACTAACTGCACTGGCGAACGTTCATTTTCGCAATTGAAACGCATTAAGACGTTAAGCGTTCAACCATGTCTCAGCAGAGGCTAGGAATGCTAGCACTTCTTTCAATAGTTTCAATTGAAAGCGATTTACTGCACAACGTCGACATTAACAAAGACGTTGATGAATTCGCTGTTGCAAAAGCACGCAACGTGGCAATCTATGTAAAAAATAATAATACATAATTTTAGTGTTGTGAGATCTTAGATACATTATCTTACTGGTATCTTGTTCATATTCCATACTGTCATGCTTAGGACGTGCTGACAGACTGACACACGCACAGACAGACCGTGCTTGTGTGTGATGTGTGTGTGTGTGTGTGTGTGTGTGTGTGTGTGTGTGTGTGTGTGTGTGTGTGTGTGTGTGTGTGTGTGAAAGGGGAGGGGGGGGGGGGGAGATTTTGCACCATACCGGTATCTAACTTTTTCAGGCCACTCAGTGAAGTGTGCCTTGGGGCCAGCTGGGTCTTAATCCAGCACTGGCCACAAACTATCCTATCACGTAACATTTCTTCTACACTGTCACCGTACTCCACAAAATTCTACACTTAGTGTAGAATTCTGTGCCGTACCAGAGAGTATTTAATTATATATTTTAGTGTCTCTGGCCGTACTCACAAAATTCTGATAGTTTCTTAAATTCAGAAATGAATGTTCTAACTGATTCACCCGAGAAACGTGTCCTTGAATTCAACTTGGATCGTTGCACTATCGTGGAAGGCCTAGGGTTGTGGTATTCTGTCAAAGTGTTCACAATGGCGGCATAGTCACATTCTGCCGGTCTAGCTGACATTGATAACAATAACAGGGGACAAAAACTTTTCGAATAATAACGTAGTACACGCACTTAGACATTTAGAACTCACCACCTTCATCAAAGATGTGAGGAGTGAGAAGGGAGGGAACACCTACAATGAGTAGCCGCTGCCCATGCCAGCTACAGCAGAGCATTAGGACGTGCTCTGTGATCTGTCCAGAGCAGGCATGAAGGTAGGATTCCTAAAGTTCTATCAAAGACAAAAGAGTTTTGAATCGAGGCCTATTACATGTTCAATCATACCATACTCACTCACTCTCTCACTCACTCACTCACTCACTCACTCACTCACTAACTCACTAATTCACTCACTCCCCCACTCACTCAGTTACTCACTCACTCACTCACTCTGCCACTCACTCATTCACTCACTCACTCATTCACTTGGACTACGAGGGTGCAGAGTTGCGGCCAAGGAGAAGTTACATGGTCTCATAATCTACTCTCATCTCTGCTACAGTGTCCTCATCGATGTTATCCTGCTATTGTGGGGGAGGGGGGGGGGTACTTTTTTATTCTTCAGGTCATCGAAGTCGAAATTCATTTCTCGACTCTTTCCTGCTTGACTCAACCACATCACTTTTGAATATCATGGAAAGTAGTGGCATAGACATTCTTCAATTCGCTAATATCACTCTATGTGCATGGTAAATAAACATTGAGAAACCAATGTCAAATAACAAGTTCACTGTTTTAGAAGATGCATTGTATTTAGATATCAGGCATTTTCTGCCGTTTTGAAAGATAATCCCAAAAGGAATAACATGAATAGTCATGATAAAAACTAAAAGTCTCCTTTTCAATAATCTCCCCCCCCCCCCTCTCTCTCTCTCTCTCTCTCTCTCTCTCTCTCTCTCTCTCTCTCTCTCTCTCTCTCTCTCTCTCTCTCTATCTATCTATCTATCTCTCTATCTCTCTCTCTCTCACCCCTCCCTGTCAATCTGTATGTAGGCCCTCGTGGTGTGTATGGGGGCGTGTATGTGCGAATGTGTGTGTGTGTGTGTGTATGTGTGTGAGTGTGAGTGTGTTTGTACTCTTGTCTGTCTGCCCCCCCCCTCTCTCCCCCCCTCTCTCTCTCTCTCTCTCTCTCTCCTTTCTCTTCCCCTCTCTGTCTATCTCTGCCTGCCTGCATGTCTACCCCCTCTCCCCTCCTCTCTGTCTGTCTGTCTGACTGTCTGTCTATCTGTGTCTGTCTCTGTCTCTGTGTATCTGTTTGTTTCCCCCTCTCTCTCTCTGTTTCTCTGTCTGTTTGTCTCTGTCTCTGTCTTTGTGTCTGTCTCAGTCTCTCTCTCTCTCTCTCTCTCTCTCTCTCTCTCTCTCTCTCTCTCTCTCTCTCTCTCTCTCTCTTTCTTCTCTCTCCCTCTCACTCTCCCTGTCGCTCGAGTGTCCCTCACAGTCCCCAGTATCTCTGCTTTAAGTATCACTTCCTTACTCTTTCTTTCTGATAGTATGATGTACTGCTCTTTCCCCCAATAAATGTACGCGAAGCTTGAAAAAGAAGGACATTTTTTAAGACCCCACATCCACCCACTCTGCCTCCCTGCAGTGGGTTTTGTTCGGAATCTGCTTTCAACACTGAAGTGATAAGACAGTTTCATGAAAGTCCCATGATGTGCCTGCCTCCCCCACCCCCTCCCATTTCCCCCCTAAAAATCTCTACCCCGCCCGCTATTTTCCCACTCTTCTCTTCTGCCCTTTATTTTTGAAAAGCAACAACAAGAGCACCACTAGCAGTTTTTATCTTTCTCAGCTACACACCGAATCTTTCTGCGAAGTTTCCGCTCAGAAAACACATAAACACACGTGCGTCCGTCTCCCCAACTCGTCGACTGGCTGGCTACGCTGGTGCACGTGTCCACTGCTTGGGGGGGAGGGGGGGAGGGTGTAGGTTGATTAGAGTTTGTACATATCCTTAAAGGATATGGGATATTATCGGGAAAATCATTGCTTTTTTCTGAGTACAATGTCGCTTCCCGAGGAAAATGATAAACGTAAAGATAAGACGTTTGAAAGGTAACGGATAATGAATTCATTTGTCATTGTTGCTTTATAACTCCTCATATTCGTATGTGTTTCTCTGCCTGTTTGTCTTGTGTGTTTGGTTGTCCATCTGTTCCTCTCTGTTATTAAGTCTTTTAAAACGAAAACGTGTCTGTTATCTGTCTGAGCTCTCGTGTTGAGAGAGTGTGTGTATCTATGCGAGTATGAGGGGGAGGTTTGGGGGGGGGGGCATACTTATGATAATGCTATTCTCGTGGGAGTGCGGCAGGAGTGGGTAAATTGAAGCAGACGTACTGCTAGAGCAGAGAGTGCAAAACAAAGAATACGCCATGAGAAAGATAGGAGAGTTACAAAGTGAACAGACAAGCTCATCTAAGAAACAGAGGAAGGAAAATGAACAAGAATGGGAGGGGGTGTACGCTATCAACTTTAGAACGACTCCACAATTGGCCAAATTTGTCCAGCCTGACTAGAGTGAGCACTTGAATGAAGTATAATAAGAGTTGCCCTTCCCAGCGAAGGACAATTAACAACTGTTATGAGCAAACAACAACGATTGTCAAATCATTGAAGAGTTTATAACACTTTTCAGCTTGAAACAAGATCTCTCTTGCTGAGGGCGAAACAAGGCCAGATCTCCGCCAGGCGCCAACGCCCCAGACCACATCATCATCATCAAAGTTTACATCGTCAGTCGTGAGAGAAGGGGAGTACGAGATGAGAAGGCGTGCATTTCAGGCCCACGTGAGCACAGAAAGTCGAGGCAAAAGTACGGAAGGTGAAGGGATGGGCACGGGGTGGAGCTTTCGTGAAGAACGAACGTTTTCTGCTCCTTGAGGTTGGTGCTGGCTCACCCGACGCTATTTTTAACTTGCCACGTACATCAGTTTCCTGCAGGCTGGCCCACATACCTCCTCCAGCAGTTGAAGGGATTACGCGTAAGCAGAAACACAGAAGGTAAGGAAACTCAACTTCTTTATTTTATTATATTTCTCATCGCAACTTATTCATGGTATTTCTATTTTGTTCTGACAAATTAACCACAAGTTAACATATTTTAAAAAGTTCTTGGCGTCTGAATTATATGAAATACGTCTGATATCTGATTCAACCACAGTCAGCAATTTCTTGTTTCTGGAACAGGGGTCTGGCAGCAATGGCCTCACTTCCTCTGGCATCAGTCCATGTCCAGACTTTGGACAATCAAAACGTTCGGAAAGTTTTCAAACAATTCACAGCAAACATTTCAATTTGATGTTCTCATTTTTGGTATATTTAGTTTTTCTTCCTCATGAGAGAGACTCACAGTATAGTAACAATCAGCAGGATCCTCCTATTTCAATGCAAGTTAATGAATAGGGTGTTATAATTTTGCTTCCACTCCCGTTCTCGGTCCAAAAAATTTCTCGAGCGCCCATCCGGCTGAACAAATTTTTTTCCGTCTTTGTAATATTTCAGATGTGAAATTTCTTTGTAGTGTTTGTGCTGTGTATGTAATTTGTTGTTGTTGCGTCTCGACAAAAAAGAAAAAAGAAGAAAAATTCTTCAGAAGTACAGAGCTGAACATTTCTGTAAATGTCGCTGTGATTCGACACGCCTAGATCTAGATCTAATAATAGTGATGAAGCTGTTAACTTTTGCCTTCCCTCAGTTGGAGACAGGATAGATCAAGTTGGCCTAAAAATACTGTATTTTTGAAAATGACTGCATTTTATTTCACTCTCATAAAAAGCTCAAAATTAAAAGTAAGCTAAATACCGAACTTTACTCAATTATTGTTTACTCTTTTGTTTGGAACCCAAATCAATGCATTTTTAAACTTGAAAAAATAATAGAAATACGCTCTACTGTGGAAATAATGTTTTATTGGAATGGAGTGAAATAAGAATAGAGAAAGTGATGAGAAACTAAGTTTGGCAAGGCAGAATGCAGCAGAAGAATCATAAAAAGTGAAAGGTAAGCAAAATTATTTTAATCACACGATCTGTTTCAGTTGCCACAAGACAAGCTAAGCTGATCATAAAACGTCAACATGAAGGTGTTGCTGGTAGCATTGTCGGTGGCTCTGGTGGTGGTGTATGCAGACAAATGTGAGGAGCAGTGTGCCCAGTGTCCAGTCCTGGAGAGGTCTGACTGTCTGGCCGGAGTGGACAAGGACCCTGACTGTCAATGCTGTGATGTTTGCTCCAGGTAAATTTTTTTTAATGAATCCGTGAACACCCTCTCACAAAAACTGAGAGCAATAGAAAAAAAATCATTCTTTTAAAACCCACTTTAAAAATATTACAGTCCATGCCGGCTTAAAGCACGGTCATCAGGAGAAAACTTAAGCGTGCTTTAAAATGCCGAAGTGTGCTTCAGTGCGAAGTAGACATAATCCAGAGATTTTCATGTAGAAAATTTCGCGTGCTATTTCCCTTCGTTTGTAAGTAGGCCTATATAGCAGTCCCGCAAAAGTGTGCACGGTTATTTTTACCCGCCATGGTAGTTTTTGTTTGCTTGTTTGCTTTTGTTTTGTGGTCGAATGGGAAATGAAGACTTAATTTAGACGGCCAGTCACGGTACAGCACACTAGGCCTACACACTGTGTGCGTCTCTCTGCCTTCCTCTCCGCGCGCATGTGTGTGTGTCTCCATCACTTGCGTTCTGTGTTTCTCAAGGAGATAAAAAAGTAATGGAGGATGCTCTGTGGGCGGCACCGCACGCCTGATAGGAGCCCTCTCTCGCGGCGGAACCGTGGGCTACCTGCGCTGAGCGAATGCCCGACTTATGCACTGAAATCTAGATAAGAAAGAAGGTTTTATTCCGAGGTCCTTGAGATTAGGCAAGTCAATTAGTAAAAATGCCTTGCATCTGTGTTGTAAAGTGTAAGAACCGACATGATGCTGCAGTGGACCGAAGTTTTCACAGTTAAGTTGTTTTCCTTTTTAAAAATTTGAATGAAAGTGTTTTTATGCCCCCAGCAACACAATTTAGATCATTAACATTCAAAAGAGGCTGGCTCCGGCGCTACCTGCCAAGGCCAACCCAGGGTGAAAGGGATACAAAACTCCCCAGCAGAAAGACCGAGATACTCAATTTTTAAAAAAGTATTCTTATTCTTATATATATATATATATATATATATATATATATATATATATATATATATATATAAAATTATTATGTGTATATATATAATTATTATGTGTGTGTATGTATACATATTATACATTTATTATATTGCTTTCCATTGTGTGTGCAAATTAGATGCTACTGTTGTCTAAATGTAGATATCTAGAGGCTCCATTAGAATAGGAAATCAATACTCAACAACAATAATGATGAATATTTTCTATGTTAAAGAAACACCAAACCATATCAGATGAGGGGAGAGGGTAGGGTGGGGTGGATAAGAGTTTGAGTCTTGTTAGATAGAACTATACTCGGTTTAATTCTATTGTTGTAGTCTTCACCTAAAATCCCACAATCAATAATTCCGGTTCAGTTAAGATTCTGCTGTTAAAAAATAAACCAAACAAAGCAACAACAAATTTTAATACACAAGAGTCATCACTAAGATAAAAATTATCCCCCCCCCCCCCCCGAGTGTAATAAGGGACGAAAAACGCTGCTCTCCATATCATACTTTACTGAACAAACAAAAAAAACCCTTCAAAGGTCATCCACGCTCATGCATACGATCACACCTCCAAAGGTGCTGTTATCTCTTTTTTTAAAAAATATTTGAAATCATTGTGCGCTCCACTTTGTGAATACCAGGAAACAAAATTATTGTAATCAATAATATTATTATTTATAGACCAAGACATACTGTTAGCAATCAGATAAAGCTGGCATCGACCCTCTGTTGTGTTCGCTATTCCTTACACATAAAATTAGTTATGGCACACGCCTAGAATCATGCAATCATAATATCTTATGTATATTCAGTTTTCAAGTATATTTTTATCCATTTCTAATACTTAAATATTTTAGCATCTTGAAAGATTTTCTTTATAATTTGTTATGTTTGATAATTTTATGTTACTTGGACAAGTTTACTTCTTATTTTACACATCTTTTTAATTTTTAAACTAGATTATAACATAAAACTCAGAGAGAATTGAACAGTCCGTATCACACACAGAATTTTTTTTTCTCCCTGTCATCATCCGTCAGCCCGTCAGTTGATCACAATCTCTCTCTCTCTTTCTCTCTCTCTCTCTCTCTCTCTCTCTCTCTCTCTCTCTCTCTCTCTCTCTTTTAAAATTTTTCCCCATTCTCCTTCGTCCCTTCCCAAGGCCCGCTCCTCCTCTTTCATCCCTGCCCCATCCCCTCTTCCTTGCGTGCATTCCCCCACCCCGCCCACCCCCACAACGTGGCCCAGCCCGATAAGATTCTATAAAAAGAAACGCCACAGTTCGAGATTTAGCCCACACTCGGTGGCCATATTTGATCCCCACCGCGGCGTACTGCTCGTGGCGCCGAGAAGAGAGAGAGGAGGCTCCATTAGTTGTAAACTCCTTAGTGTTTCTCTTAACACACTCCACTGCTGCGGTGTAGACTGTCTTCGAACTTCGATAGGTCATCATGAACGTATTGACTGTTTTGTATGGAGCGTGCCTGAAGCCGAAGTTACCGAGCTTTAAGGCGTGTAATTTATATAGCAAAAATTCAGTAAGAGCCGTTTAGCGTGCTTGAATCCGAAACATGCTTTTAAATGCCGGCGTGCTTAAAGCCAGCACGGACTGTATTATCTTATTTAGACCAGGAATAACGTAAATCTTTTTCACTTCAGGGAATGTATTTTTTAGGTCTGTGCACTGTTTACAATGTACTTTTAATGATTGCACAGTGCTTAGAGCTTGCTCCCTTTAGGGGAAAGAACACTTTAAAATGCATGCCTTTTACCATTACAGAGGAGATAGCTAAAACTGAAGAAAATTCAGTGGTCCTCCTGGTATTGATGTAAGAAGCGATCTCAAGTTTACTATCATGATATATGTATAAATTGTAGTATGTGGGTGGTCATGTTCATGAATGAACACTATTTTCAGGTTTAAAAATATTAGTTCTCCTCTCCCATAAAATTTATAATAAAAACCATACACCATTGGCCCTTTGGAGGACACATCCTATTGAAAACTTTTCTTTGAGAAATGGGATAGCAAGAAATCTTGGTCAATGTTGTTGAAGGGCATTTCAATTTATTTTCCTTTGAAATATTTTGAGAATCAAGTGTGGAATGATGTCTGAAAAAGTGAATAGCTTAAAGTACATCAGGGTCAGATCCTTGTTAATGTCTTATAAATGCTCATTTTTATCTTCTTTTCTCCTTTAGAGGTTAAAAGCCACAACCTATACTTTGAAATTGCTGGATAAGTTACACCTTAAAAGCCTAGTGATTAAGGGGTATTAATACTTGCTTTTATTTTGTTCACAACTTTTTTTGATTTCATTTAATCAGAAATCACAACAAATCAGTAATTCATGAATATGAATATATATATATAATATATATTAATATGCTTTTGCTGATTTGCCACAAATTAATGTTTTAAAGTCATGTTTCCCACTGCTAATCTCTCATAGGTTTGAGGGCCAGAAATGTGATATGAAGGATGAGAAACCCAAGCACGGAAGCTGTGGTGATGGACTGGAGTGCAAAAAGGCTCGTGGCGGCAACATCTGTCAGTGCATGTGGGAGGAGATTATCTGTGGCACCAATGGCGTCACCTACTCGTAAGTGTTTTGACAATAGATACTTTTGACAATAGAAATTGACAATAGAAAGTTTGATAATAAATTTGCTGTCAATTTTAATGCGCAAACACAGTTATGGAGCTTTTTGCTCCCAGTTTTTTTTATTGGTTACCATACACCTTTTTAATGAAGCTAAGATAATAAGGAGTTCTGTATTATTTCTCACAATTGAAAGAAATGTTCAAGGAGATGCTCGACTAAAAGAGTTCATGTTTTGAGTTCTTATTTTAAGCTCCTAAAATTTTTCTATCAGTTAAAGAGTATATTTCTTTAATTAAAGAATTGTTGTCTTCATGAGCTCACCGGGATAAAACTAGAAATAGGCCTGATTCCTTAACTTCCGGGTAAAGTCTTTCAAAGGATGGAGCATTTTATTAAAGATGTTACACATGCAAGCCAATGTTACAAGAATTTTTTCAGGAAGAAAAGAAAAACTAACATCATGCTCCGAAATGACCTTAAAAGATTGGGGGAAAAAATTTACAATGATGATAAAGTTAGAAGAATAAAGAAGAAATAGTGAGTCAAATAGTATAGTATGACATAAAATTTGTTTCTATCCTTTGTTAACTCTACAACAGTAACCTGTGCCAGTTGATGGCTACTGCAGTCAGAGAGAGCAAACAGGATGAGCTGGAGGTCAAATCTGTTGGACCATGTGAGCCAGGTACATTATTCATTTAATTCGTGTTGGTTTTGTGTGGAAGGTACTGCACTGCCTGACTTTAAACTTGGTATTTCAAATGCAAGGGATATGGTGAAGAGGAAAATTTAAAGTCCCTTTCCCTTTTTACTCCGCAAGAGTGGAGGGAATAATCTATCACATTGAATCAAAACATTCCTATAGTTGTAAATAATTGTTTGATAGTGGAACTCGCTCTTTTGTCATTGCTTTCAATACATGGGACAGATTCATTCCTCTTTTACTCTCTTCTCTTTTAAGTAGGCCTAAGGAGACTTCATATGTCTGGCATCATGGTGAAAACAGTCGCTCCTCCAAGTTATGAAATTTAGGGGGAAAAAAAATTTCCACCTTGTTGGACAGTTTTTAGTGAATTTTATTTTATTTTTTTAATGGCTTACCGCCTTTTATGTCCATTTCAAAACACATATTTTTTTCGTAGACTTTACTGAATCATCTAAAGCAAGGCAAATGAACATGTTTTATGATGATACCAATAACTCCACATGTCCCAAAACTGACAAGCACCTAATTCCACCTTGTCAAGAGACATATTTCACAGCATTACTTCCATTTTTGATTTACAGATATATATATATATATATATATATGTATCTGAACCTGCAAATGAGAAATAAGTAGTTAAGGACAAGGATTGTGATCTACTGTTCTCTTCTGTTTCCTTTTGTCAGGAGCAAAAATCATCACCAAGCCTGAGTACATCAAGAACACCACCAACAACAACATTGTTCTGTCCTGTGAGGCTATTGGCTTCCCTGTTCCCACCATCAGCTGGAACGTCACCCGTGCCAACAGCAAGACTTTCACTCTTCCCGGTAAACTTTTTCACACTCATTTTTTCAGGTTCCTTAGTAGAAAAAGATATAGTTCTTTTCAATGCTTTGTTGCAGCCAAAGTTACCAGTCACTTTTGTAACATATTGTGTCATAGCCTTTTCGTCAAGGTATGTGTTTTCCTTTTCTTAAAAGATGGTGGTTTTTGTTCAAGGATAACCAGATATCCAAGTAAGGTTGGACATTTCCCATGAAAAAGAATAAAGTCATTGCTGCATGACAAGAGACTAAAAGGTTTATTGTTTTTGCATTATTGGTCTCCATTTTCTCTAATAAAGAAAGGGTTTTGAGAAAAGCTAAAAATGTTTCACCGATGAGGTCTGACACTGGTTATTAAGTGGATTTCTTGTAAGTAGAAGTGCCAATGATATCATCGCAGTTGCGAGCAATCCAGTAAAGTCCAAATTTTAAGAGTTTTCGATTTTTACATCCTGTCAAAGCTCTATCAAAGGTGAACATTTCAACATAATCAAATTGCAGTTTAGTGCTGTGGTCAAGGCTTACAATATTCTTGCTTTTCATGATTCCTGATAGGAACAACACAACAAAAACTACTTTAGTATATTGCTTGAAACACAAATGATATGCAGTTTGGCTGTGGAAAAATTGGATGACCTCCCCTCCCCCTTCCACCTCCACCTCCCCACCTCCATGTACTGTGCTCTAACGATTCAAATTCTTCCATTCATTCGTCTACACATATAAAGATGAGGACCATGGCTTTGCTATTCTTATTACAGTAGCTGCAAGTACTGCGTTTGAACATGGTTTTTGTGGCTAATGAGAATCTGAACAATTTTCTTTATTTGTTTGACTTCCTGTGGTTACAGATAATTTACTGAGTTCGTTCTTGTTGTTTCCAAAAAGCAAAACCATTATTGATAAACTGGTAACATGTGATATTTCTTTTCTCTTCTTGATATATCTATGTTTTCACATTATATGTACTCAGGGGATGACAGCCACATCGTGACCGCCATGAGGGGAGGACCCGCAAAGTACCAGGTCACCAGCTGGATGCAGATTGAGGGACTCATGAAGCGCCATGAGGGTGACTACACTTGCATCGCTGTCAATGAGCACGGAGTCGAGTCAGCTAAGGCTAGAATCAAGGTTGTCAACTAAGATGGTAAGTTCAGTGTGTGTGTGATGCATTTCTGTGCTGCAGTTTAGGTTGTTTGTTTTTTTGTCTTCTCTGAAACCTTTTTTGGTTGTTCACACTCTTACATCATGAACAGGCTTTGCCATGAAATATTTTCTGAATAAAACCTGCCGACTCCCTACTATTTTTACCGTTCTCAAAGAACCACCGAAGGGTAACTGGTTCACTTGATTAACCCTATCCATACGTCGTGTTTTACTATCATATCTATGCCATGTGGGGAACTCTGTGCCACCACTTTCCAAAGAGGAAATTCACTCGTTAATCTAATCCGTACGCTTTGCTTAGCAGTCTGTCAAAATGATTTTTTGAGAAATACTGAAAGTTTCAAAGAGATCTTTGCACTATAAGTATTCTAAAATGTGAATAATACAACTCCGGGGGTACAAAAATGACCCCAGGGCGTACGGATAGGGTTAAAATTTTCCTTCAGTTTCCTTTACTGTCTACTTCTCATTTCTAAGGCACGATACGGCCGGTTGATGGGAAGGTCTGGGGTCATGTTTATGTGAGCTCTGTGTTGAGACTATTAATATACCTAGGTTTTTGTGTCGAGACCCTTATGTGGGTTATTAGCACTTGGTTTTAGAATATGTTGTAGGAGATGAAGTAGATCATAGTCGATCATTTATCAGGAATTTTCTTTGAATATTGATACAATTATTCCCCAAAACAATGTTCAGTATTTTGAATATTCAAACAATATGTTACTTCACACATGTCCAGAAGCACAGGTCCATGATGTAAGTATTTAATTTAATTAGTGTATAAATTATAAATATTTATATAAATATATATATATATATAATATATATTAAGCAGTCAAGCGCAGATAACCCAAACACCTAGAACTGGAAATCACGCTTAGCTTTAACAATTTGTCATTCCCAAAGTAAACCACTGTATTTTCCTTGTATTGGCAACACTGTTTTCTCAAACACTTGTATGTATTTGCGGATCACCTCATTTGGATAAACCTGATCAAGTTTTTCCTCACAATTGTCTCAAATTCAAATTGTCCTGCCCGCACAATGGAAAATAAAACAGCCATCATCATTGAGAGTATTCAGGTTGCATGAGCCCAGCAGGCTCGCCCCTGTGTATGGTGGATCTTCTACAGTCTGTTCATTACAGTGATTTTGTTTCAAACTATTAAACCATGACAGGTACTTCCCTTGATTTTCTTCCATATCTCTCTAATTTTTCATTTGATCAGTTTACTCAGATTATGGTTGTGTAGAACACACGTGTCAACCCTCAAGATGTTTCTTGAGTTATCTATGCTTGACTGACTTTATTCACCAATAAAGATAAAAGCAAGCTGAGACAGTATTTAAGATTGTAGAGCAAATGAGAAGACTAACTGATGCCCATTATACAATTCTTCATATCATTTATAATTAACGAGAGAAACTTGTTAACAATGTCTATTTTTTTCTTTCTTTTCACAGGTACCAAAATGAAAAATGCTTCATTTTTAAGTCATCAGTTCATGTATGTTCCTGTAATTGTGATTGTTTCGTCATGAAGCTTTTTTTTCGCTAAAGTTTCAAACATAATCATGATAACTGGTTTCAAATGGTGCTATATTTGTAATCTGTTTATTTGTTATTCTTTACACTCACTATTTTTTTGTTTTTAGTTGTTTTTACTTTAAGTACATGGATATTGTACAGGTTCAACATAAAAGTCTTTGTTCAAGCATACGATCATTGACTTTGGGGCAAATATTTAGTGAGGCATATCTTACCAAATGTGCTGCAGTAAGTGCCTTTATTTAATAAGTGCCTGAATCTCTCATCTCACGAATTTAGCAGTGCTTTTGAACTTTGAGACTTCTATTTTTGGAACCTCTTCCTGAAGGAATGATGAAACATGCCCCTTTTCAGCAGTATATATGCCATCAAGTATTATGATTATTTTGATTTGTTTGATTATTTTGTTCAAGTTGTGCTTATTTTTGCCTCCAACCTGTGGTATATGCAATATGAAGTTGTTTTATCAATGACTTCTTGGGACATCCAAAAGTGCCAAAATATTCTGTACAAAGAATCTGAGTTTTTCGTGTTGTCAGCTGGATCATTAAGTAGGCTCCGGTAAACGATTACCGGTGAATGCAAGTAAAAATCATATCTTGAATTCTTCCGACAGAATTTGGAACCTTGGAATATCATACAAAAACTGAAAGTATTTCTTTGAAAGTCATTTAGCCTTGTTTCTAAAATTTTCCTGGTACAATGTACAAATGTATGATATGAAGTGGAATAAGTATCTCTGTGTTATGTTATTAAGTTCTTATACATTTTTTTGTCATCATCTTTGACATCATTGCAATACTTTTGATTGCGGAATGTTGTCGTTCAAGGCAGGTACACAACGAAATATTTTTCTACTTTGACTGTTTAGGCTTGCTTTATTATGCCTTCATTGAATTTCGAAATACACTTTCTTTGTACCTAATGGAATTCTGAATTCAAAATTGACAGATTTAGCAATAAAACAATATCTTACTCTTTATGTTTTTACCGTGGTTTAGTTCCTTTTTTTGTTGTTATTGTTACTAAATATGGTACTGAATGGAGAGGAAAGTTACAGATACAATGCACCTATTTGGATGATTAAGGAATTGCTGCAAAACCATAATATTTGTTAAAGGTACAATAATGGATCAATGCGAGTTGTAGTGAAAAATGGAGAAGGTTTTTTTTTCTCCTTACCCTTGAAAAAATATTTTATGCTGATGCAGTTCAAATGGATTTGTCATTGGCCATAATTGCAAGAACAATCTATGACTGTGGTTGCACAACTGCACTGATGTTCTCACATTAGGCGAGTTAGGATTTTGCTGATATATGGTGCACAGGCAAGGATCTTCTTCTTCTTCTTCTCGATCGCATTACACTTGAAGTCTGGTATCTGTCATAAATTAGGCTGTCCTGCAGGCAAGGATAATGTGACCTTATTGCCGAGAATGAATAATATGGTTTCAGTCCACCCATTTCCCTTTTTTGAGTTTATTGTCTTTCAAGGAGTAGGTCATTTGGAAGGAAGAACACTTTGAGACCTTCTAGTCACCAGTTTGAAAAGCATTATTTTATTTCCTTGTTCTGTCTTTCTCATTTCTTTATTTTTGTTGCTTCTGTCTGATTGTCGGAATTTTTACAAATACAAGGGACATTATTTTACTAAATAATACTGAATTTAGGCAGACTAAAGTGTATCGAGAAAACCCAATTTAAAAGTCTTTGTATCAACCTGAAATCAAATGGCGGATCCACCCAGAGCAGAAATGTAATTTTCAGTACTTGTGATGGGAGATGACAGAAAGGAAATAATATGTGGCATACATGGGGTAAATGTTTGAATAATAATTGAGACATTAATTTGATTACTTTTTGAATATACTGTGAGGTTTGTTCCATCAAGCATCTTCTGGTCTCTCCTGCGCCCTGCCCTTCTTCCACCAGCTTTCTCTTACTACTTTCCCTCTCTTTTTGTTTCTCTCTTACTCTCAGTTCTGGGTATACAATGATTGGTGTCAGTGGCCTAGTGGTTAGGCTCTTGGACTCGCAACCGTAAGGTCATGGGTTCGAATCCCGTCAGGGGCCCGGCGTTGTGTCCTTGGGAAAGGCACTTTACAGGAATTTTCCTCACTTCACCCAGGTGGGAATGGGTACCCTGCTATAGACAGCGAAAGATCCTGTCAGTCTGTTAGTGTTTGAGTGCTTAATCAGCTGCTTTCTCTGTATGCTTCCCGGGAAGCTGAGAATGTTTCGGAGTGTTCTATGGTCTGCTTGGGTGATAATATAATGTAAAGCACATAGAGCTTGCTGTTGAGCGGGGATATGCTATTCATGCTATTTATTATTATTATTATTATTATTATTATTATACAATGCTGGTATGAGGGGCACATGATTTAAGTTTGATTATACACATGTACCGGTGGATGAATCTTTTGTAGAGATTTCATGGCTGTGAGAGACGATTATTGTGTTCAAGAAGTTATTCTTGATCGACAATATACCAATTCCCCTCATCTCGCAACACCTGCCTCATTTTGTCAGCTGGTCGATGTGCTTCCACTGTCTCTCTGGGGCTCTCATGGCCTAGAGGTTAAGGTGTTTTTTCCTCTCAAGTTCGCCTCTCATTTAAAGGTCCAGGGTTCGAATCCGGGTAGTGGTGGAAAATTTTTTTTCTCTAAAATTGTCTCCTTACATCTCCTTTCCTGCTCTCTACCAATGTTCTGTCGTCTGCTTTCGTCTCCACTTTCTGCCCCCACCCCATCACCTCCTTTGCCCCGTCATCTGGGCTTCTGACTCTTTCTGCAGCCTTTTTAGCCAAGGCTCCTTCTTACTGCTGTCTTTCAGCCACACCCCTTATCTCCTGGTAGGAAAGATCTACACCTAGTCTTCTCGGACAAGGCTGAAAAATCTCGGAGGTCCCATGTGCAAATTGCGCACGTTAAAGATCTCTTGGTAGTCTAAATTCGATCAGAGTAGGCTTCGGTCGCCACCCGGGCAAAATTCTAAATTCCCCTCCAACTGAAAATGTTTAATGTGTCCCGCGCGCTCATATGACCTTATCATGCAGTTGCGGGCGCCGTAAAACGCCTTAATAAAAACAAAACACCCCCCCCCGCCTCAAAAAACCCTCCAAAAAACCAGCAACAACAACAACAAAAAACTGTATCTGTCTGTCTGCATGCCTGAGTGTCTGCCAGCCTGTCTGTCTGTCTGGCTTATGGGTTTGTCTGTTGGTTTCTTTGCGTGCGTTAGTGTGTACGTTTTGTGTTTGTGCACGCGCACTCGTGTGTGTAGTTTTGTTTTCATTATTATTGCTGTTGAAAACTTGTGTGCCAGTTTCAAGACGTAATAGCAGTATTAGCAGCCAATTCTACAAATGAGAAGACGACAGAGCAAAACACATCATGTACAAGCATGTACACCCAGGCTACAATTTGCTACAATACATGACCAATGTATCGGAAACCTTCCTGGTCGAACACGTGAGAAAAGTATCCTGTGTTGCGTACCTTGGTCAAGGTCCACTCCCCGTCGGGGTGCGTTCACTCGTTCCGGATGGAGTGGTGACCAGTGTATTGGAGGGCTGGTACCATTGCCTACTGTATAGTATAACAGTAGGCTATAGATTGTGAAGCACATAGAGCTTGCTGTTGAGCGGGATTTGCGCTTTACAAATGCTACCTATTATAATAATTATTATTTTTATATAAATAGATTTATACTTTTATAAAGTAGGCAATGACTGGTACGGTACGGTACTATGATACGTGCTTTATAGTATAGCATTATAGACAGAGTGATGGTCATGAAAGCGCCAGGCTCGACCTGAAAGGGGGGTGGGGGTGCTCTGTTTACAACTTGAGTGTGATTGTAAAAATATGTAAATATTTAATATTTGCTCGTCATTCAAATTGAAGTGACTGTGAATGTGCAACGCCCCCATCGACACAATTTCGATCACTGATTAGAAGGTGGGCTGCTTCCATCATGTCTGCAAGAGTTATGACCCTTACTTGTACTATATAAGAGGGATACGGCATTCTCCAGTAGACCGAGAGAGGTACTAAATGGAATGACGTCTCCACAGAGATCGAATTTACATCTCGTATGTGAGACGACGACGGATATACCTGTGTAATACTTTTACATCACAGACGCTGGTACGACGTTGCCGGGTGTACCCGGTAGTCTGCCATAAATAATAATATTCTGTTCTTCGCTCTGCAAGCGTTTGCAACTTACTCTGTAATTTTTTTAAAAAGTGTATGTGGTGCTGGTGACCTTTTAAACTCTTGCTCTTCCTAAGCTTGGTGGAAAAAATCTGTCATTGTAGCTGTAGTCACGTAATATGAATGTTTGCCTGTTTGAAGACAAGTTTAAATTGTATAATAAAATATAGTCGAAATTGTCTGAGACGTCCAGCCATTGTCGCGGAGAAAAGTGGTGGCCCTAGGTAGGTGGACGTTCTAGACAAAGTCTTTATAGTGTTAACCCTATCCGTACGTCGCGTTTTACTATAGTATCCATACGGCGTGGGGAACTCTGTGCCACCACTTTTTAAAGAAGAAATTTACTCCTTAATCCGATCCGTACGCTTTGCATAGCAGTCTGTCAAAATGATTTTTTTGAGAAATACTGAAAGTTACAAAGAGATTTTCGTACCGTTCAAGAAATATTCTAAAATGTGAAGAATACAACCCCAGGGGTACAAAATGATCCCAGGGCGTACGGATAGCGTTAAAAACGCAGTGGGGGAAATGGGAAGTTGCGTTTGTACAGGTGATTGTCTTATATACATGACGTACTGGTGGCCTTTAGAGCACGTACGTTCGAAAATAGGAGCCTATAGTGCGGTCCAAAATTCGTGGCGCAACTTATCCTCAAATATCTTTATAACGGGGGAATCAATGTCACCCATACTTTGCACAGCAGTTTGTCTCAATTTGTCTTAACTTAATCTTATTTTTCCACAACAATTGAAGCTAGACTAGAATGTGTTTCTTCATAAATATAATAAAATACTCCAAACCTCCTTCACGCGGAAAATATTGTTCACAGCATTTCCCACTTCTCACATACATTTTGTATACGCATAATGTGGGTTACGCCAGAGCTCACCACATGACACTTTATAGTAGCAAAACTAGCAACAAGAATTTATTTTTTTACCAAACACTTTTTTGCTTTTAAAAGCGATATCGTCGCAGCTGTAAACTAATAATATCTATTAAGGAATTTTCTAGAATAGAGCCTACAGGTCTTTACAAAAATATTGATCTGTTAAAACAAACTGATGCAAGTCACCGTGCAAAAGCTTGAGAGTGTATGTTCGATAGTTGAGGAGATATTTGACAATAAGTTGCGCCACGAATTTTTGACCGCACTGGGTTTTTTTAGTATGTATATTATATATATAACATATAC